TGGCCAGACCCCCCATCCTCAACCTGCTCCTGCCCTCATTTTGTCAGCATGGGTGGTTGGCTGGTGGTCTGCAGAAAGGTCTGCACTGAGTGGGATGGGCTGTGGGCCAAAATGTTTGAGAGCCACCGGTGTAGGGGCAAAGCACAAACCTCTCCAAATGAGGGACGCTCACACAAGCCAAAGACCAAACCTGCCCTACAGGGGAAGCCAGGAGCTGTCAGTATGGACCAAATACAGGCCGCAAACTGAGAAATAGCTCTGCAGCCCAGCCGCTTTGACGGCGACAGCAGCGTGGCTGCCCCTCGTGATCGTGTGCTGATACTTGGTGCTTTGCATCAGGCCCCAGCTCCAGGAGTCCTGTGATTAGGAGAGACCCTCAGCTCCCAGTTACACTAATAATAAAAGTTTCGACCCTCACGGGAAGGGAGGAAAGCGTGAAAACGTGACCCGATGGCACCCTGTCTGGCTGGGCTTTCTCTGCATGGCAAGTCCCTTGCTGAGGCCAATGGAGCAGGAGGGACCCTGTGCAAAGCGCACATGGACAATGGCTTCCTGTGGCATAGGCCAGGTCAGTGACCTTCATTTCTCTTATCATGCCCTGCCTACTGCCCACGCTCAGGATTTGGGGGTGGCATTTAATCTGCTACAATCCCCAGGTCTCCAGTGCTAGCTGCCCCCAGAGCTAGCTGCAGCAAGCGGCCAGGTCTCTGCACCATGACGAAGCTCCGCTTCACCGTGTCCAGGCAATACTCTCTTGGACGCGAGCAGGGCTTGCAGCAGCGGCAGTTCAGAACGTCACGGTTTTCCAACCCCATCCAAGCACCATTCTCCTCTGGGAGTTGGTGTTAAAATCACTGCTACTCCCCAGGCCCAGCCTGGTGTTGGCTGCTGTTTCCTGCCTTCCTGCACCCCGATGGAGCCATATCATCCGGGCAGCAGACAGACAGCGCCCCAAAGCCACACATGGCACTGGTGCGAATCACAATGCAGGTGCAAAATGCAACCTCTGCCCCAGGGGTTTGCGTGGGAGTAAAGGCAGCACATGGGAGAAAGCAGGGCTCTCAGGGCACGTCTACGCAGCAGGGCAAAAGTCGCATGAAGAGACGTAACTTCAGCGACGTCAATTGCATAGCTGAAGTCACAGTAGAAGTACAAGAGGACACCAAATGAAGTTAATGGGTAGCAGGTTTAAAACTAATAAAAGAAAGTTCTTCTTCACACAGTGTGTAGTCAACCTGTGGAACTCCTTGCCAGAGGAGGCTGTGAAGGCTGGGACTATAACAGAGTTAAAGAGAAGCTAGATAATTTCTTGGAAGCTAGGTCCATAAAAGGCTATTAGTCAGGGGATAGAAATGGTGTCCCTGGCCTCTGTTTGTCAGAGGCTGGAGAGGGATGGCAGGAGACAAATCACTTGATCATTGTCTTGGGTCCACCCTCTCTGGGGCACCTGGTGCTGGCCACTGTCTGCAGACAGGCTACTGGGCTAGATGGACCTTTGGTCTGACCCAGTACGGCCGTTCTTAAGTTCTTATGCTTAATTCGGCCTTTGGCAGGAAGTCAAAGGAAGAGAACTCTCCCTCCGACTGCCCTTACCCCTCGCGAAATGAGGACCACGGGAGTCGGAGTCAGAAGTCCTTCAGCTCGACAGTGTTTCCACCTAACGGGCTGGCTGCGTAGCCGTGCGCTTTGTCATTTTGAACGAACGCTGCAGTGTAGACATGCCCTGAGTGTTCTCCTTCCTAAGGCTGGTTCGGTTGCCACTGGTGGAACTTGAGAAAAAGCAGCTCAGGTGGAACTCACGCCCACAGTAACGCGGGGGAAACGCTGGGTCGGCACGGGTGCCAAGGAGAGAAGAACCTGCCCCTAAGGACGAAGCTAGCGCTGCCTTCCTGTCTTGGCGACCGCTCTCTGAGGACGACGGCTGCTGAATTAACGCGCTGACACTGTGCTCAGAAATGCCACTGGCTACCCAGCAACGTCCCTGCAATTAACCAAGAAGCTGCACACAAGTAGCAAGTGCGAGCGCCAGGGAGAACCGGGGATGTGTGGACTCAACTTTCTTATCTCCTGCTTAGTCCCTCATCCCCGCCCACCACACGCCGTCTGCCATATACTTGAGAGAGTTTGTCTGTCTGTGGGTCTTTCTGCCTGCTGTGTGTCTGTCTGTCCCCAGGTTGCGCCTGTTGCTGCGGCCATGGAGAGGCACTTCTCACCTGGCCCCAAGTTGCCATGGGGAGAGAGGGCTGGGGTTGCCCTCCCTCTCCAGGGCAGCCTGCATCCTGGACCCCTCCTCCCCAGCCTCACCCCCAGAGCAACAATTGAAATGAAGAAAACCAAAACCAAACTGAATCTCAGCGGGGCAGCCTGTTAATCTGTAACTTTTAAAAAATGAACTGAGTTAAGGACCTGAGCAAGGGCAGGTAAATCTTCAAGTAAATCAAAATAGGCCGCACCTGAGAGCCCATCCAACACACAACCCGGTGGTTTTCTCCAGCACATTTCATGCAAAACTTTAGCGGCACCTCTGCTAAGCCCGGGCTGGGAGTCAGACAGCACCAAAGAGCGACACCGTCTGAGTAGGAAAACAATCCTACTCAGTAGGAAAACAGCCGCTGCCGGTCACTGGGGAGCTGTAAAACCAAAGCAAAGAACCCGAGATTGCGGCTTGTAAAACTTTGCTTCTTGCCTCAGCCACATTCACGTGATAAGGCGAGGCTGGCTCCTTACATTCCCTCTTCAAGGCAACCCCTCTCTCGTAGGCCAGGCTGGAGAAGTGCCTGTCCGTTTCCAGGGCTGGTCACATGAATAAGAATAATCATTTCTGCTCAGGTGGGTATTGGAAACTGCTGGCTTAGCATCAGGTGCAATGATGCATTGATGCCTGTTGGGCACCACAAGCTAGTAAATCATGTTACTTGGGGCAGATCCCTGCCCCCTTGCACCGAGCGGTACTTCACTCTGCAATGTGTGAACAGCAAGCCTGGGCAAGTGGTGCCTGCAGGGAAAGGTGGTATAGGGTGGGCCACCCTGACAGTGTTCCCTTTAATGTTTTCCATCCATGTGTGGAATAAATTGTGTGATGTGCACTGAGGCATGTGTGGATGTGCACCACCAGGAGAAGCACATGCTTCCGGCTGTGGGTGATCTGCTAATCAGCTGGGTGGTACTTGAATCTCTCCGGGGCGGTTGTCCAAGCACTTGTCTTACGGGGAATGCTGTGCCCAGAGGGGCAGGGAGGGGCATACGGGAGCACCCCATTTAGCAATTAACATTTTGGCAGGAGAATGAAGGGCCAGGGCACCTCCCAAGTGCTGCCAGGAGTCACCTAGGGCAGCAAGGTACTAACTCAGCTTGAATAAAGGTGGCAGAATCTACCCCTTCAGGGAGGGGTGGGAACCTTTTTTGGGTTGGGGACCACTGACCCACCCAAAAATCTGTTGGGGGCCAGCTGCACACAAGTGACAAGCAAAAAAAACCCTTCACTAGATTTTGTACACGACATCCCCAAGGTGGGGCAGGAGTGCCAGCACAGGCTCCCCAATGCTGGAGAGGGGTGCGGGGGACTGAGCCTCAGGGTCTGGATCCAGGCAAGCCAGGGGGCTGGATCTGGCCCCTGGGCCTTAAGTTCCCCACCCCCTCCATAAGGCTTCTAACTATAGCTACTCAGGAATTTTCAGACTTTTTTTTTTTTTGTCGTAAGCTGCCAGTTCCTTAAAAACTGGAACACGTTTGTGGGCAAGGGTCAGTCCCGACACATTTATTGGTTTCAAAAACACGTAGGAAGCTATTGCAACATTGACATTTTTTCATTAAAAAAAACCCCTCAATCCTTTGGGTAGAAAATGCCTCTTTGTTTCACAATATAAGCTAAATAGAGTAAAACATATAGAAAAGTCACAATCACAAGGAAACATTTCAAAACCATCCACATGAAACCTTTGGACAGAGCCAAACTGAGGGTTGGTTTTTTTCTGGACTGTGAATTCACAAAGGTGTTCAAGTTTCTTTTTCTGATTTGGGACAGGCACATTTTTAGGACCATCACATTTTCCCAGGACCAAAACACTTTCCCACAAAGCTCTCCTCTCCTCCAGTCCCTGCATGACTCCCCTGGCAGGACAGGCTGAGAATCTGTTACTTGGACAGGACTGAAAATTCACATCTCTTCTCACAACGTCTTGTGCCCCAGGTGTGGATGCTACCCTATTATGCAGTGAAAATCCTCCTGCAGCTACTGCTATTACAACAGGCAAAGCCTAGAATTTTAATAACAGAATCACAGAACAGTAGGACTGAAAGGGACCTTGAGAGCCCGGTCCCCTGTCCTCATGGCAGGACCAAGCACCATCTACATCATCCCTGATAGATGTCTATCTAACCTACTCTTAAATATCTCCACTGATGGAGATTCTACAACCTCCCTGGGCAATTTAGTCCAGTGTTTAACCACCCTGACAGGTAGAAAGGTTCTCCTACTGTCCGACCTAAACCTCCCTTGCTGCAGTTTAAGCCCTCAGAGGACAAGGGGAACAATTTTTCCTCCCTCCTTGTGACCCCCTTTTAGGTACTTGACAAGTGTTCTGGTCTCCCCTCTTTCCCCTACCTCGGAACACATGAAGAATAAACCAGACCCCGTCAACTTAACTATCACTCCGCCTGAAAACTTTGTTTACCCGCGCCTGGCCCAAGTTGCTACGGAGACCTCCATGTCCCTCGGTGTTAACTCTGCGACCCCACCTCGCTTGTCAGTTTCACGCTCGCGTCCCCCAGCTGTTTACCGCGGGGTCTTTCACACCGGGGCAGGGGAAACGCGGCGCCGAAGCCCCACTCGCCAGCCGGCGGACCCAGGGCAGCGGTGGCACCTGAGCCCGCTGCTGCAGCGGAGTCGGTTCTCCGGGGTGCTGGACCAAAGGACCAGACCGGACCCCCTGTCCCTGGGCCCGTGGGAGGAAGTTTGCCCTCGGCCCCCCGGAGAAGAGCGGGGGCGGGCGGCCACTCACCTTTCCCGGGGATACTCTGCTCCAGCGCCACGTGCAGCCACAGAGCCAGCGGCAGCGCCGTCCGGGCGAGCATGGCCAGCGAGCGCCCCGAACTCCCCGCGCCCGGAGCTGTGCAGGCGGCTGGGCGGCTGGGGATCGCTCATATTCCAGGGACGGACCCTGCCTCCCCGCGCCTGGCCTGGGTGCCCGGTCCAGGGAGGCTCCTGCGGACTCCGGAGACAAGGCCCCTCCCTTCCCGACTCAGAAACCCTCCCCGGCGGGAGGGGCTGGGGGAGCAGCCCGAGCCACCCCCCCGCCTCGGCTGCCGCCTCCGGAGCGGGGAGTGGGTGGCAGGCGGGGTTTGGCTGCAGCGGGGACGATCGCACCCCCGGGGGGGTCTCGGCCCCCGGCACACCCTGGCGCCCAGCCCAGGAAGAGCCGAGCCTGCTGCCCGGAGCCGGAGAAGGGGGAACGGGCACCTACCCCCCCCCCTCCCGCGATACTGGAGCAGGCAGGACCAAGATCCCTCCCGGGGCGCTCGGTCCCCTCTGGCCTGAACTCAGCAGCGTCCCGCAGTCCAGCGCGCCCCCTACAGGGCTTTGCAGCTGCCCCCCACGACCGTCGGGGAGCCACCTCTGGGGAGGGCAGTGGCAGGGGGCAGGCAGCGCACCAGGCTTCCCACGTGGGGCTGATCCAGCTGCTACCCCTCCCCCCGTGGAGTTGCAGGAGGGGAAAGGCTTTGCTGGGGCCGGGGCACAAAGTGTCTCCTTGAACTGCTGTGGCAAAGGGCCTGCAGGAAAGGGGGGCCCAGCAGAGGCAGCCCCGTGTTGTCCTACGGGAGGGAAGGAGAATTTTGGCCCAGGGATCAGGCTCAGGAGACCGGGTTACATTTCTGGCTCTTCCACGGATTTCCTTTGTGACCTTGGGCATGTCACATTGTCCCTCCCAGCCTCAGTTCCCCACCAGTGAAATGGAGATCAGCCTTCCTGTGTATCCATCTCCTCTAGCCGCAGTCTCTTGGGGGAAGGGTCTTCTCCCCAGGGGCCCTTTAGAGAGGGTGGGGGGCTGAAGCTCTCCCCGCCCTTAGTCCTATGGGGACATTGCTGGCTGTCCCCCTTCCTCAGGGAGCAGGGGATAGTTCAGTTTGCTGCATTCGTCCCTGGCTGGGGGGCACAGCAGGCAGACAGACCTTGACCTGCCCCAGCCCCGGCAATGCCTGCTGCAGCTGCAGTGGCCACGGAGAAACGCTTCTCACCTGGCCTCAAGCTGCGCAGTGAGTGAGGGCTGGAGTTGCTCTCTCTCCCCAGGGCAGCCTGCCTAGCGAAGCCCTTCTTCCCAGCCCTGCCCTAGAGCAATGACTGAAATGAAGGAAAACAAAAATGAATTAAGGACCCCAACTCAGTCCTGCACCACCCCAGCTGCTCTGCTGGTTCATCCTGATGGCACATTTTTCAGTGCAATCCAAACATAAAGCACAGGACGCAAAGCCAGGGGAGAGCTCTGTTCCACACAATTCCTCTGGCCCCCAGTGTGACCAGCACATGGCATCTGTACTGCAAGCCTGAGCCAAAAAGTTACTAATGGAGAGAAAGTGGAAAATCACACTTGATTGCTACATGCCAGCCGAGTGCCCCTCCATTTGATAAGGGGGATAATTGGAATGAGAGAGGACACAAAAATTTCAGGAGATGAAACTTTTGATGCAGGGGGCTCTCTGAAAGTTGTGAGCAAAGTTTCCCCCCGAACCAATTCTGGGACTCCCCTCCGGGGAATCTCAGGAAAGTGACAAGAGTTACAGGCTGTGCGGAGTGGAAAGAAATTTGGATTCAAACTCCTCAATGAAATGGAAAGTCAGGAGGGCCCCGGCAACTTAGGGTCAGCATGGAGACCTGTGGAGTCAAGCAGCTAGTTTTATTGTCTGGGCTTCATGGTGCAAATGTGACCCCACCTTACGCATGCCCTTGCACCAACTCAGTACCAAATTGCAGAGGGAGAGAGTTTTGCATCTGTGCTGTCCGATTCTCTGTCCCTCCTCTGGTAACACTATATCAATGAGTCAGTCTCACGCCCTGATTGATTCCCACGGGCAGGAACAGTCATTATGCCAGAGCCTGGTGAATGGGAAGGTTCCAAACCAGCTGTTCTCACTCCAGTCATCTGGCATTTGTAAGGCCCTGCCCGTAGTGGTGGCACCTGCCCTGTGGGGGGAATCATGGCCAAACCTGATTGCTGCTCACTGGCTCCCCAGCCGATGTGGGCAGGACTGTTCAATCTGAGATCACAGATCCCAGGGGCTGCTGGCCCGGATAAAGGCTGCAAGCCTGAGTCCCAGGTTAGACTATCGGCCTTATTCAATGGCCAGTGACTCCCATGTGCTTTGGATCCAGCACCATGGTGCAGAGCTGTGCTAGAGATAATCCAGAACAGCAGCTGCCTGTAACTCCCACTGACGTGAAGAGGAGCCCCTCGGAAAGGCACCTCTGACAATTGGCCATCTGCCTATTACACTGTTGGGGGAGGGGAAGCTTGTCACTACAGGGGAAAATGGGGGGAAGGGATATCAGTTACTGGGATTGGTACCCAAGATGACTGTTCAAGGTGGCCAGGTTGGGGTCTATGCAAGGATGCTGAGGCAGGAGTCCCCAGGAGCACAGGTATGGGATAGGCCTGGCCCTGGGTTTACCAGTGTGGGCACTCCGTTTCCAGTGCTGCAGTTCCCAGCATTCACCTGCACGGGATGTAAACCAGCCCTGAAGTTCAAGGAGAGGGATCATTTCCTTCCATCACTCCCTCCCCACGCACGACTTCCCAGAGAACTGTTACTGCTTTTGGAGTCATTTCCTTCCAAGGGACAATGACTAGTCCCATTCAGCCCTGCACCACCCCGGCATGCAAAGGTATCAATCCATGTCTTCCCAGGAGCCCTGCTCTAGGGAAGCAGGAGAAAGCAGATTGAGAAAGTATTAAATCTTACCCTATTTTATTTTAAAATTCTGCTGGAGGGGCCAGATTCTTATCTCACCAAAACTGGTGTCGATCCAGAGTAGCTCCACTAGCCTTGAAGGAATTAGGGCCACATTCTGCTCTGAATTACTAAATCCAGAGTGACTCCATCAAAACGAGTGTAGTTACTCCGCATGTAATTAGATCAGGGTTGGGTTGTAGGTGTCTGAATATGGAACAAACCAGATCTGGAGGGTTAGTCTGAGCTTTGAGAACAGTGATAATCCTGTCTAATTCATGCCCCAATTACTGTCAGGTTCTAACTTGGGCTGCTAACTCTCTTGCACTGAAATTACAAACTCATTCAAGAAGAACTAGCCTTCTTAAAAAATGATGCTTTTTAATGGAGTGGTATTGAGTGCTGTTCGAAAGTGCTCCATCCCAGAGGCAGTTGCATTTCGGTGCTGCATGAAGCAACTCCAAAGTATGGCCATCCCAATCCTGCACACACACACGCAGGGTGCCTAATTTTGGGAACATGAGAAGTCTGCCAGCAGGATTGGGACTGTACACTGGGAAGTTCTTTAAGTTTATTTTTGTTATAATTGGTGTTTATTCTTGTAAGTCGCCTCTAGCGGAAGGATGTCAAAGCTCTTCTGTGGAGCAAGATGCAGGAAGTCCTTCCCTTGGAGAGGAAATGCAGCCACTCCTCTGCTCTGGCACCATGCTACACACCACTGGTTCATGGACACAAAACCTGGCTTCCCCATTACACAGCCGGGGCGCTTCGTTGGGCACACAGCGGGCAGTTACCCAAAGTGGCAGATGCCAGGGCCCTGGTGCTAGTTAGCCCCCTGACTCTGATGAAAGGCGCCAAGGGGTCTTTAATGGGACCATACGCTGGGGACATTGGATGGGAAGACAACAACTCAGACTGCTCACGTTGGGGCATTAATTGGACCCCATCTCAAGGGACGGTAGGAAGCAGCGACCCGTCAGCGCTGTGCACTGCAGCATCTGGGTTCTCCTGGGAGAGCTCCCAGTCAAGTGGTAACCAGACCTGCCCCTGCCCCCTGGCTTGCTGATCTGCTGGCGCTGTGCTCTTCTTAGGGTGACGCCTACTTAGTGAAAGGTCCCTGCCTGGTGGAAAGTGGCAACGCTCCATGGACATAAAAGAGCTACAGTGGATTTAGGCTGTCACGGCTCACAGGTGCCCCCCTCTGCATGCAGCCCCCCCCCCCGAATACCCTAAACTCCCCACTTCCTCACACATGCCTGGCCCTATGTTTCTAGCTCTCCATTAACTGCCCGGTCTAACTCATGCCATCTCAGGGCTCAAGTCAGCTCCTACTTTTCTTTGGTCCTGAATACAATGTACAAAAATAGTGACCTTGTCTCCCTTGGTTTTCCAAATGTGTCAGGCAACTGGAGCTCACACGGCGAGTACCCTAAACTCCCCACTTCCTCACACATGCCTGGCCCTATGTTTCTAGCTCTCCATTAACTGCCCGGTCTAACTCATGCCATCTCAGGGCTCAAGTCAGCTCCTACTTTTCTTTGGTCCTGAATACAATGTACAAAAATAGTGACCTTGTCTCCCTTGGTTTTCCAAATGTGTCAGGCAACTGGAGCTCACACGGCGAGTGGAGGTGAAGGGAGAGAGCTCTCTGTAAGGTCACGCAGCCAGGCATGGGGCTGTCAGATGTGTAATTGGCTTTGAGTGGTGTGGCGCTGTCTGAGCAAAGCCTGCATGGGTTACGGGCCCCGTCTTCCTCCCAGCGGTTGCTTCGCCAACCCGTGTGGATCCCAGCGCCTAACCACCGCGGAAGCCCCAGGGGAGCCAGCTGTCATGTCGCACAGAGAAGTCAGGTGAATCATGCAAACCAAAGTGACTTGTGGATCTTGGGAGTGTGAGGAGCCTGGAAAGAAAGGAAACAACGGTCCTTTGTGTTCTCTTGGCTGGCAACAATGCTCCCCCGCGCCGGCCTGAGAGCGCACAGCATTACAATGAAGCTACAGTTCCGCCCCCCCACCCCCGGGTGTCAGGACAGATCTGCCGGGCAAAGGGATCCACCATGGGCATCTTAGACAGAACGCAGCAGGTAAACCCTGGAGAGCCAATCCGCCTTGTGCGCAGGCCCCTCCTCCCCACCCTCACGGCCAAGGCTCTTCCAGCTGCTGCAGCCCCCAGACAGGGGTTGGGTCAGAGAAGGGGATGGGCAGGGGGTCAGGTCTATAGGGAGTCAGGGTATCACAGTGTAAGTTAAAGCCGTCCAGAGGCTCTGCCACCGGCCAACATAGGCCATGCCAGGCACTGGAGCACAAGGACTGCCAAGGTGGCCAAAAGCCAGCATAACCCCCGTGCCAGGGCCAGGCTGGAGAATTTAAGGGGTTGGGGCCTCAGTGCAGTTTTTCTGGGTAAACTCCTGGGTACCAAGACCTT